GCTGAAAAGACCTGATTCAGCAGGATTGCTTCTCTAGTGGCACAAAACTTAATTGCTCAGCATTATAACCATTTCTATGGAGATCGATGTATAAAAAGGGAATAATGGCACCCAATGGTTCTAATAAATATCACAGCTCATGATGCTCCGCCCACAAAGCCTACTTATAAAGGACTATTCAGAGACTGGGTCACACGAGAGCCCTGGAAAGCACTTTGCGGTTACCAGTACAAAGGTTTGGAAAGCCCCACAAGCACAGCCCAGGGTCTGAAGTTTAACTTCAGACAAGCACCACAAAACACCCAGTCCAGCAGGGTCCAGGTAGAGCCTCTAAAGTTGTTGCCGATACCCTGATCCAGATAGCTGCATAAGAAACTAGCTCAAGCTGCATAAGAAACTAGCTCAAGCAGCATGTAAGTCTTGCCTAAAGAAAAAATCTTGACTGTAAAAATGGCTAGTAAAAAAGTTTATGTTCCCGAATTCTATGTCCAAAAATGAGCACAAAAAAACTAAGCCTCTAGTACTTCGTAAAAGGTTTCCATAACCAAACACTTGCACAAACCTAAAAGGATTATGCACAATGCAAGTTATCAGCTAGAATTGGGTAAAGCATGCCACTATTGGACTTGGGAGTAGTGGATCGTTTTCATTTGAAGTGCTATATTATGATTCACTATCTAGCAGTCTAATATGGTTCTTTGGTCATCACCAAACACAGTTTTCTCTAACTTCCAGACTGCATAATGCTTACTGTAAAGTTTGATACAGAAATGGTTAAAAGGTCTGGAACTTTTTTTTCAGACAAATGACACTTCCAACACTGTTCTAGCAGGATTGTGTCCAAGTTCATAAAGCCAGGTCCAAAAATACATGGATTTTAATAGTATAATGTGAAGGTTCTCAAGTGGTCTGCACAGAGCCCTAAAGACTGGTTCACACCACAAACAGTGCGTTCCAGAGTAGTCAGGCTCTGGAACGCACTCCAGCCGACTCCCTGCGTTCAGGGGCAGTACATTGAAGTCAATGGCACCGCAGCCACACACCCCCCCAGCAGTGCGATTGCCCACACCAGAGCATGTGGCACATTAGTGCCTACGTTCCGGTCCAGTGGGATCTGCAAAATAGTGCTTGAGGCATTTTGCACTGAACCGGAATGCAGACACGCGTTTAGGTGCAGGCAGAGAGCATGCCTGCAGTGCCATTGACCTCAACGCACAGCCATGCCCCCTCCTGCCCCTGAACACAGGGAGTCGGTGTTTTAGCAAAGTTTGTGACTACATTGAAATTTTACCGGTGATGCGGTCACACGTTCCAACATAATCCTGCCCAGTTTGACAGCGGTGGAATGTGTGACCGCCCATTAGATCAAGCATTTCAACCCTTTGTGGGCTGTTCCAGGGCAGATTGGTTCTCCTGCACATTCGCTGTGAGCCAATCTTCATTACCTTATCTGCTTGGAACAGCTGGTCGGTCTCAAATGTCACTTCTATCACACTTTGCGAGTGCTGCAGGGGGGGCGATTCCAACGAGCAACGCAGATTTTTTATATATCTGGGGTGCTTACTGGAATCACCCCCTCTGTGGAACTCACCAGGTCCGATAGACGTAACATTTGAGACCGATCAGCTGTTCCAGGCAGATAAGGTAATGCAGATCGGTTCTCCTGGACATGCGCAGTGAGCTGATCTGCACTGGAACAGCCGACAAAGGGTTGGAAAGCTTGACCTAATGGGCAGTCACACATTCCACGGCTGTCAAACTGGGCGGGATTACGTTGCAATGTGTGACCGCGTCACCAGTCACACATTCCAACATAGTCACACACTTTGATAGAAGCTCGGCCAGAGTGCAATACAGTGCGTTCCCGAGCCTGACTGCTCTTGAACATACTGTTTGTGGCGTGTCTGTCAAACACTAGTGGGATGAATTGGAATGCTACTTGCTAGGCGGAGCTTTTGTCAATAAGTACATTAGTACCTGACCTCAATGATGCTCTGTTAGCTGAATGGGCACAGATTCCTAGAGGCACACTGAAAAACCCCTCTAAAAACCTTGATGGGGGGAGAATTATACTTACTGGATTCAGACCAATGGCATACCTGACGCACCTGTGTTTGGAAAGAAATTAAACACTTGAATAATCATGTACATCATCTATTTAGACAATTATTGGCCTCCCACAAAAGGGAATATGTGCTGTATTTAGCAACTAGGTCATTGCTTTATTAAAACAAGCAAAATTCAATCTGCTGGGTTTTTACAAAATATTTTTTTTTTTATAAACCAAAAATAATTTTACTGAATAAATTCCAATAGGTAAGAGTTAACATGACTAATACCATTTTTTTAGTCATAGTTTGGCAGGTCAGAGCATACATCTTGTAAAATTCAACAGTAGAAAAACAAATGGAAAGCAGATCAAAAATGGCCAAACACAATGCATAGGACAAAATTAAGAAAATTATACTTAAAAGTAGGGATGCACCAAAATGAAATTTTTAGACCGAAACTAAAATAGTAAAATTTGTGAGACTGAAACCGAAAATGACTTTTTCCATTTTAAACTACTGTTAGGAGTTTGGGAAAATATCAGGGGTCTAAACAGTCAGATTGCTCCACTCCCTCCTACCCATCACCAGAGCCAAGCTCTCCTCCTTGAACCTCCCTGCTAGGCCTCTCTCCTTCTCAGGACGGGCACCGGTAGCTGGATCGGCTCAGTGTCCCATCCGATCCCCACTGCCTCTGCCGACACAGGCAGGGGAGAGCAGCAGTGATCAGAGGGGACACAGACCAAAATCCTTGGTCTGTAATTAAGAAAAGGAAAAATCCTTTTCTTAATTACAGCCCTCCAGATGTGGTGTAACCACAAATCCTATCATGCATCTGCCTCTGGCTTTATAGTTGCACCACAACTGGAGAGCTAGTTTGCCTAACGCTGCTGTAGAACATCAAGTTGGTGACAAGACTCTGCACCAATCCCACTTGCTGACCTGTGTATTTTATGCTATCTGCTTCTGTAGGCAAAGGGAGAGGAGCTTGTGTCACTTAAGGGTTCCACCTCCAATGCAGACTCCAATCCATAGTTGTACCACAAGTCGCAAAAATGCTGACACCACTATAGCAGTATAGATTAAGAGTAAAATGTAGTGTCTGACATTTCTAGAGTGCAGGCTCCACAATATTGATAGTGACTGTCTCTTACCTTGAGAATTCTAAATAAGCACTCTCTGCAGTAGAACACTAAATACTTATTCCGGGGGGGGGGGGGGGTTCCTCCCTCCATGGCCTAGGCCACTGCTGTGTCCTGTAATGACATATGGGTCAGAGACAGGAACCACAGTACACGGCAGAGGATGCAGTCGATAACACTCCTGGAAGTTTTGAACGCTGAAGACTTTGGCAATAGCTCCAGCGCTGTAAAACAGGAGTTTTGACTCACTGTCCTCTTAAATCGCTCCAATGGGAGATACAAAAAACATGGCTTATAACCTACCCATACGCCATCCAAAATGAAAACGTTTTTACTTTAGATCCACTTTAATACCCGATAAACAAACCAAACAGGTTATGAAAGCTCATATTTTAATAAATTAGCCAATAAAGGGCATCTTGTCAACGCCAAACTTCCTGCACACAGTACAAGAATGAGTATGTAGCCAGTTTTATACTGCTAAGAGTAGCTTGGAATCTGCACAAAGCCCTTCACCAAAGAAACAGCTAAAAATGTAAGAAGTTGTTTATAAAAAATAATGTATAAATTATTTTTGGGTGTGCTGTATGAATGGGAACACAGACAATAGTTATTTTCTCCAATTTAACTGCAAAAGTGGAAATACTATTTAAGTGATCTGGTTCCTAATTCTACAATATCGAACTGCTAATAATTGTAGGGAAATGTACTGAGAGAAATACAGAAACTGCACTGCTGACTTCCTCATGAAAATTACCTTATATAAATGCAAGTTGCCTGGCCGTCATACTAGCTCTCTTACATAGTATGGGTTGCTGACCTGCCACAAGCCTTCAGCAAGTGAAGTTAGAAAATCTACTGTACTTATTGGTTTGGATCACTGAATTAAGAATACTAAATCTGGAGAACAAATATTTTTAGAAGGGAAGGTCCGCAGTGGCAGTCTGTATTTATGTCAGTAAAGGTTTCCTTTATTAGTAATCTTATCACACAAAACTCTGCAGAGAATTTTACTAATCTGTTTATATAATTAACAATGGTTGAAAGTGCTTAAACTGTTCTAGATCCATTTTTTAATGGAATACAATTTTCACTTTTATCATCTGGTTTAACATCGCCATTTTGTTTATCACATCCAGCCTCCTTGCATCCATATTATGTCTATATGCATAAGCTCCCGCAATGACTCCACATAATTGCTCTGGACTAGTATCCTGGTGGCGACAGCACTGTCCAATGTGCATCAACACAGCCGCTTGTAATCTCCATTGGAAGAACGTGACACTGGGTGACATAACAGATACACAGTTGGGAGACAGAGAGAGCATTGTCATCCAATAAGTGACAACGATGTTCATGGTAGAATAACCAGGTAGTATTCTGGACTATAAACAAAAGCTGCAGATATAAACAGATTGAAAATGACTTTTCAATTTACATTTCAATGCTCCTATATTTAAAAGGGATTGGGTAAACAAAATTTCTAAAACAAGACCATTTTGCATTGAAGTCATTTCAAAAGCCTGCTGCCCTCTGAATAAACAAACTACACAATTTGTATTTTTTTTTATTATGGTTTCCACATTTATATCACAATTTGTCCACCGATAGGACGAAAGTTAGCAAAGTTGCTCTCTTCTGCATATCAGAAATACAGAAGTCTTACTGTACATTCAACTAAGGCTTTGTTTTTTGATGGGTTTTTTTTTTTTTTGCAAAAAAAAAAATTAAAAAAAAAAAAAATCGCGTTTTTGATGGAGATCCCATAAGGCAGATTACATCTAAAAAGGAATGGTAGCAAGTAGTTAAGTTTTTTTATTTTTTTTCCCCAGCCAACTAACTGGCCTTATTGTGTGGTCGGCCTCTGGACAATTTAGAAGCTGGTAGCACCATCCGTCACCTTTACGTTTTGAAAACTAGGGTCATTTGAAGAATTTTTCTCACTGGGGGTAGAATGAACACAGTTCAATTCTAATGTAGAGATGCTGAAAACACTGAAATATGGTTAGAAATCACATGTATGCATTTATGTGTTGGGGCTTGAACAGGTTTCGAACGGTGGAAAGGTAGATTTTATACTGGGCTTATAAAAGGGAAACTAGCAGCAGCTTACAGATCTGAACTGTGTGATGGGAGATGTGTACAATAACTTTCCAAGGAAAAAAAAAAATGTTGGGGAGAAGGAATGATTTTTTAAGACTCTTCTCCTAGTCAACATAAAGGGACCAGCTGTGATGCTTGCAACTGAACACTTATACTTTGCGCCTCTTTAGACGCTTAACTGTCAAATTTTAAACTGAAATAAAAATCTGAAAAAAGGAAAGAAAACATTAATTCAAATAAATAATGCATACTCTGTTAAGGTAACTTACTCTCAACTTATTTAAATCCTCTTTCACATAAGATTTAGGTACCTGTCATATATATAAATTTTGTTTTTATTCCAGCCCTTTCTCAGGTACAGGAAAAATTCACCTTTTTGCAATCTTCGGGTAGGTTTGAACTTAACACTTCATTTTTTTTTTTCATATATTTTATTTTTATAGCTCACTTTGCTATAGGAGTTTCAAAACTCCAAGTGGAACCCCCCTTCCACACCGTTCCATTGCATTTCTTGACCCCCTTCTGCAATCCTTTGTCAAGTTATCTGGTAGCAGCATTTAGCACAAAAGAACGGGTGTGGCAGACAGAGGGGGGAGCGCCAGCAGTGGAAGAGAACTCCCAGGATGTAGTGAACACAAAGCTCCTCTTCCAGGCTCTCTACAACCCCAACCCTTCACATCCCCCAAAAAAGGGAACTCTCATTTTTTTCTCATTCAAATCTTCCAATTTGAGCAGTGGTCGCAGAGCGACCCATGGTTTGCAGTGAAAACCACAGATATGAGAAGAAAGCAGATTTGGACTGGTGCTCAGTCTAGGCAGACATAAGGCAAGACGTTTAATCTACCATCATCACCATGAGGGTCCAAGGAGATGCACTGCGTCCAATCATACCAGTTGCCCTGTGTATCGTGACAGCCATTGACACCAGGCCAATGATTATTATGAAATCTGTCTAAATCAACGCTAGTCACTTCCCTGTTTTTTCCAGGCAGCTCACTCGGTAGGGCAAGTGGCACTAAAACATTAGTCTTTCTAGCTTCCCGCTTACTGCATTCCTCCTGTTTTAAATATTCAGACATATAATAATGTGCACTCTGCGTCTGTACACCAGAGGAAGACAACAAGCTGCCCTGACGACTAAGATAGGACTGAATGATCTCATTTTGAGACAACTCCTTCCAGTCTGTCTGTTCAAAGGGACTTGGCAGGCCGAGTTTGGGGTCTTGTTTGTCCGTTTCAGTCCTGTGCTGTTCTGAAGGGGCTGAAATCTCAGCCTGGGATGGGTCTTTGTTAGTTAAAGGTTTTATTTGCCCAGTCATGAAATCAAATTTCAATTTGCGATCCTTTTTTACTCGTGTTTGTTTGCTATTTCCATCTGCTGAGTATCCTTCTTGATCTCCTCGACGAGATTTCTTTTTCTTCCGGCTGTCTGAACCAGAGGCTGCGTCATCGCTGTCCATTTTTGAGGGCTCTGGAGAATAGGTACTGCGAGGCGTGTGAGAATCTGTAATAGGCGGCCCACTTCGATGTCCATGTGGGGTGTGCTGTTGTGTTATCCTGGGTGACTGCTGGAGGGGGAGGTCAGTAGGGACTAGTTGCGCCACAGACCGATGAGGGGAAGAGACTGCAAAATCCCTCCTAGGAGACTCTAGTCTTTTTGCTATGGCAGGGGGTGTAGAAGGGTGCACAGGGGATTGGTAAGAGGGTGTATGTGCAGTGTCTACACCAGGCAGCCTTTGAGAGGGGCTGGGCACAGAACCCTTTGGTGCATATGTGGTGTGCTGCCTTGCCACTAATTCTGCCCTAGTGCCACGTGGGCTGTAGGAGGTACAACGTGGACTTCGTGGCTGATGAGAATGGGTTTCTTCTAACCCTACACTGTGCTGCTGTAGGACGGCCACTTTTAATAAAGAGGAAGTGCTTGGGTGTTTTACAAGTCCAGGGGAGTTGGTGTGAGGCCGGACAGCATTTACGGGAATTTTACCATGTTTATCATTTTCAGCAGTCTCCAACCTGTTAGTCTGTGAACTGCCATCAAGAGGACTAAGTAGGCTGTCCGGAGGACTAGTTCCAATCCCATTGGTGGGAAGGGGTGAAGAATTTTGGAACAACTCCTGATTCGGCTTACCTGCTTTGCAAGCAAGCCCTTGGGTACCATCTCTAAATTCCCCTTTCCTCTTTCGACTGGCCACCTTCTCAGCCTTAGGTGAATGTGCCTTCTGGATGTCATTCCTGCCCTTAAGGTCCTGAAGAGGTTTTCCACTCAGCAGTGCAGTTTGATTGGTCTCTCCCTTACAGTTGTGGGTACTACCACCATTGGCTGAACCTTGGGGGTTGGGAGTACCCCTGGCAGCCTGCTCATTCTGTTGTACTGGCTCTATCAGTTTTTGCCAGCTACGCAGCAGCTTCTTAGCACGTTTGGCGAGATCCTCGTTACTGGTCTTTTTCCGAACATCATTAATTAATTTTCCAAGTCGGGTTTCCTACAAGTTTAAAAAAATAAAAATATATAGACAAATGTTTTTTTCCTTTTTTGCTCCAAGCAGAATTTTGACTTTAGCATATGCATGAAAAGTGCAACTGTGCCCAGACTATGAATATTGAACTATTTACATATTCTTTTACACTCTAAAATCAAATTCTACCGATGCATCCCTCTATGTATGATGATTTATAATAACAGACATGTCAGGTGTAAAATGCTGTGACGTTGAAATACTTACACTTGCAGAGCATTCACTTCCTGCTCTGAAAGGGCAAAATGACTTCAGTTTGGCAAAGCAATGCACACTGGGATTGCCTTATCAGCAGAGCATTGCTAGGAAATCTCATGTGTAATCTCACCAGATCTCAGGGAAAGGCATTTTCCTTCCCTGCGATGATGTGCATGGTCACATGTCCCAGTCACATGTGCCAGAAATCCAGGAAATAAAGGGATAGCTAGTAATCTGCTCTTAGTAAACATGGCCACTGTCAGAAGGGGAAGAAAAGAGAAATAAGGTATGTAAAGAATACAAAGCCGGCAATTATCTAGAAGTATGTGTTTGTAGATTGTCATTACTAAACATTCCTGAAGGCATGTTTGTTGTGATTTCAGAGATATGGGTAAAGATCCGCTTTAAAAAGCAGTCAAAGTTTTAAAAACACCAACACTGGCCTCTTTAGCTGCTGGTGCTGTGAAGTAATTTCTCCCTCACAACAAAGACTTAAGTCAGGTTTAAGGGCCTGTTCACATGACGTCCGTTTTCTGTGCTGACCTGATCCGTACGCTCCTGCACTAAAAATGCATTCCAATGTATTCCTATGTGTTTTATGGGCTACAGTTCTCACGTGCGCAGTCCGTTCAGGTTACGACAAAAAAAATACTGCATGTCACATTTTGTACGGTCCGGAAACGCAAAACGCAGCAAAAACGCACTGCAGCTACCATACTGACAGCACCACTCCAGCAAAAATATTTTTTTAATTTTTTTTTACTGGAACGCATCAAAAACGCGGCAAAACACATAGCACCGCGTCTGCAGATCATGTGAACAGGGCCTCAGTCAGTTTCTGCTGTGCATTTACATTAGCAGGTTGGCAGTCTGCAAAGATTCTGCACTCAGAAAAAAAAAAAAGCTAAAAAGGTGCCCATACACCTTACGACCATCGCAAGACTTGTCTTGCGATGGTCGTATGCTTATTGAAAGCTTGTACGATCTGCCCACCTTGGACGGGCAGATCGTACTTGCGATCATTGAAAGCCCGCCCCGCTGAGGGGCGGGCTTCCGATGACCGCAATGCAGAACGGGAAGTGTGCGCGTGCGCACACCGGCCCGTTCCACAGCTATCGAACGAGCAGGCTAGAACCCCGCCGACAATCGTACGATTCTCGGCGGGTTTTCGAGCATGCTGGTTCGACAAAAGACGTGCGACCGTACAGTAGAAACGGTTGCACGTCTTCGTTCACACTGCTCGATTCTCGTACGATCACGGGATTTCCCACGATTCTCGTACGAGAATCAAGCAGTGTATGGGCACCTTAAAGACGTCTATGGCTCTGTTGTGACTTTTGGAAATTAATTCCTGCACAGTGCCTATAGCTAGATGTAAATGAGGGCCTTCTTTCCTTTGTTTTTTTAAAAATATCTATATACACACACATATTTTAGTGTGCATAGTCTGGGCACAGATTCAATTTAAAGATGTCATACACACCTCCAGTGCCTCTTTGGTAATTGGATACTTCTCCAAACTGGAGATTACTTCCAACACGGCCACCATGTTACGAATCTGAAGAGACAAAAAGGTAAAAGGAAATTAAACATTTTGATCACAGCTGGAACAAATTAAAAAATACATCAGGGCAAAGCAGCTAGGAAAAAAATCTGAATCAACAGCAATGGTAATTAACAAATCCTAAGAAAAAAAACCCTTCTGCCAAAAAACAAAACAAAAAAACATTCAAATTCTAGCAGTGTACACTTACCATTAGCTATATTTTACATTGTTAAAGAACTCAAGGGCATACGAGATCCTAACCCTTGCAATGGGACTACCCCAACACTACTAAGGTTGATCGCTCATTTTGTCTAGGGAGCTAAAACAAAATACTCACCCAAATCTCAGACACAGCTGACTGCTAGACTGATCCCTGTAGCCCCTCCACTATGGCAGTCTAAGGTCCTAGAAGTCATCATGTCCAATACAATATTGGATGTGGAGGATGCCGAGGGACATTCCATAGCTGGAGAGGAAGGGAGCGTGGCTACAATAACCAGTCCAGCAGCCAGCAGGGTCTGAGATTCAGGCGAGAATATCTGTTATTTTAGCTCCCTAGACAAAGCAAGCACTTAAAAGAACTCCAGAAATAACTATTCTTAAAAGAGAACTAACGAGACAAACTAGCGTCCTCCCGTGACCCAAAGCTCAGTATACCGCGAGCTGTAGCTCGCGGTATACTGAGAGCGCCGCAGCTGGGACAGATCGACAATACTGTCACCGACGTGTGACAGTTTCATTGTCACAGGTCGGCTAGAACTATGAGGATGAGTGATTTTCACTCACCTCATAGTTCTCCTTTAACCCTTGCAGTGGGGCTACCCGCACACTGCAAGTGTTAAGTGCTCATTTTCACCTAGGGACGTGAAAAAAAAATATTTAAGTCACCTGAACCTTGAAACCTTTTAATAAGACGTGTCCCTGCTACCTCACTACCCCTCCACTCCATTGGTTAAAGGTCCTGTAAGTCATCATGTCCTATACAATGTATAGGTTGAGGAACGGGGAGGAACATTCCATTGCTGGAGCAGAGGAGACGGGTAGCTGTGAGGTTGCGGTGAGTATATTATTTTTGTCCATAGATGAAAATGAGCAGTTATCCCTTGCAATGCAGGGGTAGACCAACTACAATAGTTAAGAATAATTATGCCAAGAGTTTGTTAAGCTTTTAATAGTGAAAACCTTATCAAAACGAAGTTAAATCACTGTAATTAACTTATGCTTCTAAAATGTAAATGGGGCTAAACCGCTTTTCAAATGCAAACGTGTCATGAAGAAATGTTTATGTGCGCTCTGATGGAAGCTGTTATAATCCAAACACTAAACCACATACCATGAATATGTGGCTCAGGATTTAGAGAATGTAAAGCTGCCATCGTAATGGGTTTACACATAGGTGGTTTGCTTTGTGGTAAGTTCCCTATAACAATCTTTGAGAAGTTGGATTGTTTTTTTACGAATACATTGCACAATGCTATTACCAAGTGCATACCATTGGGAAACAAAAATAAAAGATCGAGAGCTAAGGTTGCATGGCTAAATAAAATGGCAAGACAACACAAAGAAAAGAAGCTGGCATTTATAAAATATAAGATGGAGGGGACTGCATTGGCATTCCAGAGCTACAAGAAATGCAATCGGAGTTGTAACCATGAAATCATGGCAGGTAAAATAGATTACGAAAAACATATCGCCACAGTGTGTAAGAGCCCGAAAAAATTCTACCAATATATAAACAGTAAAAAAGGTAAGAAAATTGCAGGTGGGCCCAATAAAAGATGAAACCGAGAGATTAATCACAAACGACCGGGAGAGAGCTGAGGTAATAAATTCATTTTCTGCTCAGTATACACTCAAGAAAAATGGAGATAAGAATGCGAGTAGCTTAGTGCTTAAGATACCGCAGTGGTTGACAGTAGCCAGGGTTCAACAAAGACTGGAAAAACTTAATACAAATAAATCATTGGGGCCAGATAACCTGCACCCTAGGGTTATGGGTAAGAGCCCAGCCAGGTTATAGCGAGACCATTATTCCTAATTTTCAAGGACTCCAAGTGACTGGTGTAAGGCAACAGTACTACCAATATTCAAAAAAGGTTCAAGATGCCAACCTGGGAACTACAGACCAGTCAGTCTAACATCAATAGTATACAAACTGTTTAGAGGGAATGATAAAGGACTATTTAGTGAATTTCATTTGTGACAATGGTATAAGTAGTGATAATCAGCATGAATTTAAGAAAGACCGTTCTTGTCAGACCAACCTACTAACATTCTACGAAGAGGTGAGTAGAGATCTGGATGGAGGGAGGCCGGTGGATATGGTATACCCGGACTTTGCCAAAGCTTTTGACACAGTACCACATAAACGCTTAATACACAAGCTGAGATCTATGGGCATAGATGGAATGGTGTGCACATGGATAGAGAGCTGGCTACAGGAACGTGTCCAGAGAGTATTGATAAATAGCTCTTTTTCAGATTGGTTTAAGGTTGAGAGTGGCGTCCCCCAGGGTTCAGTGCTAGGCCCCATACTGTTTAACCTGTTTAATAATGATATTGGGGAAGGTGTTAATAGCCATGTTTCTGCGTTTGCTGATGCTCAAATGGGGAGGGTAATAGACACGGACTTAGACACTGTAACATTGCAGGAGGACCCGGATGAAATAGTGTCTGACAACTACATGACAGATGGTGTTTAATGGTGAGAGATGGCAAGTAATGCATTTTGGGGTTAAAAACAGGCAAGCGGAATACACATTAATGGGAACTCCACTAGGGAAGTCAGAAATGGAAAAAGATTGGGGGTCATAGTAGACAGCAGATTGAATAGCTTGCAATGCCAGGTTGCAGCAAACAAAGCTAGCAGAGTACTGTCTTGTATTAAAATTGGAATGTACTGTAGAGACAAGGCAATACATTTGCCACTTTATATATCACTGGTTCGGCCTCATCTTGAGTATGCGGTTCAATTTTGGTCACCAGTCCACAGAAAGGATGTCCTTGAGCTGGAGAGTGTCAAGAGAAGGGCAACTAAGCTAATTACAAGGGACTGGAGGACCAAAGCTATGAGACAAGGTTGCAAAATTTAAACTTATTCACGTTAGAAGTGAGATTAAGGGGTGACATGATTTTGATGTACAAAATGTTTAGTAGTGATGGCAACATCAGCAATAAACTTTTTACTATACACTCCCTAAAAAATATTAGAAGCCACCACCTAAAATTGGTAGAGAAAAGATTTATCTAGGGGTTTAGATTTATTTATAGGAGGACTACAAGATTTATAGAGGACTACAAAAACCCAGGAATAGTACATTATACAGTGCAATGCAGAATACCACCAGCTATAATATACTATTGCTGGGATATGTTGTATTCCTCTATAGCTGGGTGGTATTCTGCATTGCGCTGTATAATGTACTATTGCTGGGATTTGTAGTCCTCTATAGTCAGTGCCGTTCTGCATTCATTGCTGTATACTTTTACAGTTTCCATTTCACTATATTGCACACCACACTTTTCTCTTTTTTACTTCCACCGCTCCAAGCTTGCTCCTGTGATGGACTACAATCTCAATACAAAACTAGTAGTCCCATCACTGGAGCCATTTTGTAAAATGTATTTTATTTTTTATCCAATTAATCGAACTTAATAAATCGGCTAACTTAATCGATTTTGAAAATAATCGTTAGCTGCAAATAATCACTCAGCCTCATAGTTCTAGCCGACCTCTAGATAGGCAGAGCCAGCTGTCACTCACGAAGGTGTGTGGATCCAGACGATAATGGCAGAATCCGTCCCAGCTGCGGCGTCTCAGTATACTAAGCTTAGGGTAACGGGAGGACGCTAAATTTGTGTCCTCCCATGACCCTTAGGAGAACTATGGGGAAAACCTCTGACCCCATAGTTCTCCTTTAAGCTGGAGAAAAGGTAGCAGACAGCAGCCACTGGTCAGACTAAATGGAAATAGAGACACAGCCCTAAATCGGTTTGTTTCCATTCATGTTGTGATTACTCGGTGTATGGCTAACTGTAGAAAAAGAAAAAAAAGGTAATAATTGACCTTATAAAAAATTACTCAGAAAATGTCTGCCTAGAGTTCAGCTTAAACATTGGAAATCATTAGATGTGTTTTTTTTCTAAACCATTATACATACAGCAAAAAGATGCAGGTCCAATGTACAAAATTTTTCCTAAAAAATTATCTTTCACAAAGACTTCTACAAATTGGTCTCAGGGACCCCCTCCCTGAGGGGGGTCCCTGAGAGACAGAAGAAAAGGACAGAGAGACAGAAGAAAAAAGGAAAAAAGTTTTTTTGAACATTTGCTTTTCCAGATATTGCTATACAGAGGACATGCTAGCCAGAATGAAGAACATTTGTAATCCCTAAACCTTACTACTGGCCAGCATAATAAATTGCACAGTGCCTGGATACTGCACTGTGAAAGCAGCACTAGTGACACCCACTTTTATTGCTTCTCTGTCATCAGCAGCTTCAGTACGAGCAATGTGAAACTGAAATCTCGACTCAGCTTGAATGTCAGGAATAGAACACCTGGACAAGTGAATGTCCATCATTTGTCAGGCATCTGGGAAAATCCTTGCATGTATCCAACTAGGATGACACAGTAGGTATATATGCTTTACTAGGAGGAAAAATAGGATATTTGTCTAATCTGTGCAAGCTTTTTCATGGAGTACATTAAAATAGAACTCCAGGAAAATACCTGCTGTGGCAGCTTCCCCAGTGAGCATAGAGCGTCACTGGCACGCCATTCCTCCATTTCAGAAAATGGTCTGTGTTCTTTTCAATTTATACAAGATGTTTCATCATTGGATGTGGGTAGACTGTGACATTATACGGCCCACTTCTTTACCTTGCCTAATCCGAGAACACCTTATATGTACTGAAAACAAGATGTTTTTTGAATGGAGGCGGTACCAAGCAAGTGACTCTATGCTCACTGTAAGACTGGAAGTGCATTCAGCACCACTGAAGGATCAAAAG